AAAGGAGGCTAAGTGTCCGTCTTCATTCTTTGCAAGCAGAATGATGTATGCAAAGCCAAACGAAGGTGTGGTGAAACTTGTAGGGACTTTACCAGGCTGGTAACCCAGTAAAGCAAAAGTACCAACACATTCTAAGATGTCGACAAGATTCAGGGCTTCGAAATGTAATGTTCACATTGTTCAGGGTGCACACCATGTTCCCAGCATACAAGGTACCGTGAGACGTTCAATTCTCCTTGGAAAAGACAATCAGTAGATGCTGCTGGTCAGATTTCACAGACGCCAGAACTCTTGGGGCCTTTAAAGCACTTTAAAGGGATTGAATGAGTAAATGGACCCCTCATGTCCATGCATGCATGTGTGTGTATGTGTCTGTATGTGTACATGTGTGTGAGTGGGGGAGGGTATGTGACTGTGTGTGCAGTGTATATGAGTGTGTGTGTGTCTGTGTGTGTGTATGTCTGTGTGTGTCAATGTGTGTCCATGTGTGTGTGTCTGTGTGTGTATGTGTCTGTTGCTGAGGATGGAATCCAGGGCCTCACACATGCTAGACAAATGCTCTGTCACTTAGCTACATCTCTGGCTTTCTCTTTACTTTTTATTTTGAGACACAGTACTGCTAAGTTGCCTTGAACTCATAATCCTCCTGCCTCAGCCTCCCAAGTAGCTAGGATTTCAGACCCGTGCCAGCAGCTATTGGACAGTTCCACATCTTTAACACTGAGTAAGCCCACTAATAATCACCAGTGAATTCTTTTTCTTCCTATGATAGTGCCAATACTTTGAGCTTTAGAAAATCAATAGAAAAAGAATCCATTTGCTTGCTGTGTTGGGCACACTCTGGAAGGAAGAGAAGGGTGCACTCTGAAATGGAGTGGAAGGGGAGGGTGCGCTCTGGAGTGGAAGGGGAGGGAGCACTCTGGAGTGGAAGGGGAGGGAGCACTCTGGAGTGGAAGGGGAGGGAGCACTCTGGAGTGGAAGGGGAGCGAGCATTCTTGAGTGGAAGGGGAGGGTTGCTCTGGAGTGGAAGGGGAGCACTCTGGAATGGAAAGGGAGGGAGCACTGTGGAGTGGAAGAAGAGCGTGCACTCTGGAGTGCTCTGTCACCCTCTCCATGTCCCTCATGCATGATATCAACTGTGCGAGTAGCCTACCTTCCACCTTCCTGGGCTTGGTTGGGAGGACTTGATCACGTCCTTGTGTGTGTTTTACTTTTCTGATAAAATTGCTTCTCAGGCCGATCCATAACCTTAGTGGATGGGACCCTGAGAACTTCTCTTTGCTGACGAATCCATTATACAAATATTTAGTGAGACCAGACTATGATAAGGGATGGAAATTAAATAAAACAGATAAAAAAAAATCCCTGCTCTTATGGGACTGGTACCCTAGTAGGCAAGACGAAGCAAGCAATCAATTAATATAGAGCGTAATTCTGAGGGGGAAGGAAGCAGAATAGAAGAAAGCACGGGCGGGGGGAGTTGTATATAGAGGATGATCTGAGCTGAGGAAGGGCTGAAGGATCTGGAAGGTCCTGCCATGCTGTGTGTGTGTGTGTGTGTGTGTGTGTGTGTGTGTGTGGCGGGAAAGGGGGTGAGCCAAAGGGTTTGAGGTGGGACTGAGGGTCGTGTTGGGGAGCGATAATGAAGAGGGCAGGGAGGCTAGAGTGTGGCGAGGGGGAGCTGTGGGTAAGATAGGAGTGGAGTGGACACAATACTGCTGGGGAGAGGGGCTCTGTCCAGTGGGCTCAGGAAGTGGTTGGGGATCTGGGGCAGATGCTGTAGCCCCAGGCAGAAGAAAGACGCAGTAAATCTTTTTCACATTCAATAACAAAAATGTGCAGAACTTAGAGCCCAGGGGAAATTAGTGAGGCTACAGCTCTCTCTTTGCTTGGCTTCTGCTGTATTTACCTTCAGGATGAGCAATAACTTGAAGGAACCAGGAAAAGGTATTGAACGTACCGAGAAATGAAGGCGAGAGATTAAGAATCTTTCCTTTGGCACATGTTATGTCTGGTCTTATCAGTTTGATGAGATTTAGAACCACCATTTAGAAGAGACAACTCTGGCTATGTCTGTGAGGGTGGGTTTGAAAATATTTAACTGAGGAGAGAAGATTCACCCTAACTGTGAGTGACATCACCCGGCAGACCGGGCCCCTGAACTGAACGGAAAGTAGTAAGCAAACTGAAGAACGGCCTTCATCTCTCTCTGCTTCCCGTCTATGGGTGCAATGTTCGGTCACCTTCTGCTGCCACCACCATGGCCGCTCCACCCAGGGACTGGGTCCTTGAACTGAGAGAAAAAGTCAATAGAATGAGGCCCCTCTTTGGTGCCTCGCCCCTGTGTTTGGCGCTTGGCGCCTGTCATTGAGTCCATAATCTCTGTTGGTTCTTTGGGCCCTACTGATGTGTCTATAAAAACACAGGGAACATATCCTAAAATCAACTGATTGCTGATCTGGGGCAGATTATTCCAAGCATTGGCTCTGCTGTTCTTATTGACACAGTGAGTCCCTTGTGAGTCCACTTTTGAGTCCCTTCCCAGGCTGTAGTTCTCCTGACAAATCCATTGTCCTCTGAGATGACAGCACTTCCTCAAGGGTCTCTGTTAATGAGTGAGTTAAACGACATCTTGTAGTGTCTTGGTCTTACAGTTCTGAGAGTCATGTGTGGCTTTATCTTTAAAAACTTGATGTTCACATGCGTGGCAATTCAAAAGACACCAATTCAGATCAGTTCTCCACTCACTGGGTATCGTGGGCTTTGTGTTCAATTCCGAGTCCTTCATCCACCCCCACAACATACACATTTGCACACAGAGTGTGATCTCCTCCCACCCCACCCCATGCTTGGTTGTGCGCTAGAAACAGACGTACACATATTTCTGAATGAATTATGGTGTGTTAGTTACCATTCTGCTCTCTGTGACCAAAGCAACTTCAGGGAGAGAGGATTTATTGTGGCTCGTGGTTTAAAGGGACGCAGTCAGTCAAGGTGAGAAACGGATGTTGGTGGTGAGAGCATCAGGAAGTAGAAGTGGACGCTGGTGCTCAAGTAGCTTTCTCCTTTGATTTAGTTTGGGATCCCAGCCCATGGGATGATGCTCCCTGTGTTTAGTTAATGGTGCTCCCTCTTCAGTTAATCTCTGAAAATGACCTCGCAGACATTCCCCAGAGGTGTGTCTCCAAGTGATTTCAAATTCAATCGCATTACCAATGAAGACAGACGGGCGCGTGGGAATTGGAGGCTTAATCAATGAGGCAGTCTCGGAGAGCAAATTGTTGGGACTGAATGAGGTGGGAACCCTAGGAGGTGACAGTGTATCGTGTTATTTGGTTGGGTCTTAATTCTATTTTGAATTCTAACTTCTGCTCAGATTGCTCCCAGTGTGTCTTCCCGGGGTCACCAGAAGAGCTTTCTAAGAGTCCCTTTTCTACCACTGAAGGAACAGAGTATCCCAGTGGGCCGTGGTGGACTGGGTAGGTCTGCTGAGATACTGCACAGATGGAACGATGCGGCCTTCAATGTCCATCCCTCTGTGCCGCCCTGTCCTGGGGGCCTCAGTCAGGAGATCTGGGAAGCTGCATTGTGGGTGGCCATTCCTTGGTCACCTCTGGATGTCTCTGATGCCCACAGAGAATGAACAGATCGGCTCTTGTGCTGGATAACAGGAATCCCCCAGCATGCCCTCTGATTGACAGCACTGTGACAGCCCCCCCAGCATGCCCTCTGATTGACAGCACTGTGACAGCCCCCCCCAGCATGTCCTCTGATTGACAGCCCCCAGCATGCCCTCTGATTGACAGCACTGTGACAGCCCCCCCAGCATGCCCTCTGATTGACAGCCCCCAGCATGCCCTCTGATTGACAGCACTGTGGCAGGGCCCAGGGAAAGCTGTCACCGCCAGCTGGGTAACTGCTTCCTCTAGGTTAAATACTCTCTCCTCAAGGGGAGAAGAGACTCTTGTGTGGAGTCACCTACAGGCTGTGCAGGGATGCAGCTTTCATGAGCTGCCCCCTAATGTTGGCGCGTGCTTTTTGGTGATGCAGCTGCCTGACTCACCGGTGCCTCCATCAGCAACCCCGATAGACCCACCAAGCTAGATGTTGATGGAGCCATTTCTTTGGTCAGTCGGTGACCCCTCTACCTGGGGCAGACCAGAAACAGATTCCCCAGGATGAAGACATGGACTCTGTGCTCTGTCAGTGAATGTCCAGGAATGGCTGGGGCCAGCAGCACCAGCAGCACCTGGGAGTATGCTTGCACTGGAGCCCGGATTTTCCGGGTTGAAACACATGGTTTCCCATGATTCTCTACACTCCATAGTTTGAGGGAGTATTGGGTAATGGAGTCCTCCTCATCAAGGTACATCAGCCTTCAAGTCTGGGACTCACTTCCTGGGGCACTAGGGTCAGCCACTTCCACCTTGCAGGGCTCATCTCCTTGTCTGCAGAGGACAAGCTGTGGCCATCGCTGCCCTGTAACTTATTAAAGGTTGAGAGGACCCTAAAGAAATCTTGGGGTGGGGTAGCTTGGAAGAAGGGATTGGGGATGGGTGTAGCCAGGGCTAGGCCCTAGGGCTGAGTCCAAGAGCCCTTCCACAGTCACCTTGCATCAGTGCGGAGGACAGCTCCATACCCCGCACTCAGGTCCCGAGCCCCTCTGGGACCATCCACTGCAAGGATTCGCCTGTGGACACTCTTTACCAGTCTCCCCTCCTGTCCATCCTGCAGACCCTCGCCGGACACAACGAATGAGTGGCAGAAGGAAAACTCTTTATTAGCATAGCAACATTAGATCTGGGAGTCACTGGAGGAAACACTGCCTTCCAACCGCCGGAGGGGCTGAGGCGTGTGGCCGTATTGCACACTCTTAATAGATTTCACATTGGGAACTTAATAAATAGATACTCAAAGTGTCGAACAGCAGAGGCAAGGGGTTGTGTGCGGGACTGTTTTCTCGTTCCAGCTCCTCCGAGCAGGACTGAGCAGCTGGCCCACTAGGACGGGTATTCATAGTCCTCGGCGCTGCGCCGGCCAAAATCCATCCAACCCGTGTAGTCCCGGTCACTTATCCTGTGGCTGGGGTCCAGGTTCTGCAGCGACTTAAGAACAGACATGCGGCCAGAAGGAGCTGCGGGTAGAAAAGAGGAAGAAGATAAGAGCTGTGGATATGAAAGTGTGGCTAAAGCAATGGGGAAAGCCAGTGTGTGTGTGTGTGTGTGTGTGTGTGTGTGTGTGTGTGTGTGCTTGTACATACACATACACACATGCATATGGACACCTGTGTCTTCCTCAATCTCTTCCCCCTCTCATTGAGACGGAGCCTCTACTGCACCTGGAGCTCACTGAGGAACCAGCAAGCCTCAGGGATCCCCCTGTGTCTGCATCCCCAACACTGGGATTGTGGGTACAGTGCACACCTAGTTCTTCCATATGGGTTCTTGGGGGTCTTTCTGTTGTGCAGTGAGCACTGACAGTCAGAGTCATCCCACCGGGTCTTAGAACACTAAATCTCTAAGGAGCAAACAGAGGAGGAAGAACCCTTCTCCCTGCCTTGTTCAGCCTAGGAGCTGTCCAGGGTTCTGTAGTGCACCTGATGCTCTTCAGAAGCCATGGGAAGATCCTCCCAGAATGCACTACTTCTAAATGCAATGACTTAACGTCCGAGCATGCTTAGCTCATCGGGGAGCTTTCTGGGACTACAGCACTGTGATGCAAGGATTACATTTTTAGAAATGAAATCAAGGAACCAGGGAGATAAATGGCCTAGCAGGTAAACTGCTTGCTGTATAAGCCTGACAACCCAAGTTCAGATTCCTGGAATCCACAATGGACATACTAAGGCATGTCCTGAGATGGGAGGCAGAGACAGGAGAGTCTCCCAGACGCTCATGGGCCAGGCAGCTTGGAGTATGAAGTGCAGTACAAACCACAAAAAGGACCCCGCCTAAAACTAGGTAGAAGGTAAGCACGAACCAGCACCTGAGGTTGTCTTCTGATTCCCACTGTACACACACACAATACACACACAATACATAAACACACATAATGCACACATGCACATAATACACACACACACGTAAGTAAATAAGGTTTTTTTTGAACAAGGACAAGTCAGACGGCTCGGTGGCTAAGTATGGTTTTTGCCAAGCTTGGCATTGTGAGTTTGAGCCCCTGGATCCACACAGTGGAAGACGAGAGCATCGCTGTCCTCTGAATTCTACAGGCCTCCTATGCCCCTTCATAAATAAATGCTAAAAAAAGAAATCAAGTTCTCTTTCTACATGAACATGCTTCCAAATTATTCACATGAAAGCTCCAGTCTTTTAAATATAATAATAACCAGAAAAATACACCCCTGTCATATTAAAATACTGGCATCTTGGTAGCATTCATAGATACTGAATGAAAAGTCAGAAAAAGTGAAATTTAAACCAGCCATTTGGACCAAAACACGGCACTGTAACATGCAGCAGGGTCCAGCCTGTGGTAACTGTGTGATCTGGGCAGGAAGGGGGTGCGGTGACGTGAGATCCTTCCTCTGCGGGCAGATGACATGGTCCCAGCCCACAAATGGTGGACAGTGGCCTCCTGGACTTGGAATCAGGGTAGCTCCTTCTGTGAGGCTGATAGGGTAAAGAGAGGCCCCTGGGGACCCCACTGCTCTGGGACTACAGTGTTCCCACCTTTTGGGGTTTGCAGGCGGCTTCCCTGCCGGCTCCTGCCCCAGGCTAGCACAGCCAGAAGGAGGATTACTTAGCCCATGCTCCAGTAAGCAATGCTAATGAGACCCCTTGGTAGAAGAGGGGTTGGTTGGGAAGAGGATTAGGAGGGGGAGGGGGGAGAAGGAGTGAGGGCAGGGGGTGAGTGTGATCTGAATGTGTTATGGATGCCTTAGATGTCATTATGAAACTCACCACTAAGGCATAATTAATACACATTAGTAAAACGTTTCTTAAATGGCACCACAGAGGCAGTTACCCTTACTGCAGAACGAATTTAACCAGCTAAACTTAAAACAGAAATCATCACGACGAATAGCTGCCCATGTTTCTTCTCTCTGACCCCATGTCTTCCTGGGTTGGGAACTGAGAGCCCACACCCTGCGTTCTTTGGGTAGACAGCCCTAGCTTGTGCAGAACAGACCTGGCTGCTTCAGTACCCAGATTCTCTAAGGTAAAACAAACATCGCAATATATGCAGCCCGGTTTCTTGTACCGTCACATGAAAATACAGCCCATTCTCTGGCCGGCTCAGGGATTAGTGTCCACTGTGAGGGCTGGGCACAACCCATGATTCTATCAAGCCAGCTGTCTGGTCAGTGGCTGGGCATTTAGCCGGTCGTGGGAGCTGTGTTTGGAACTGGCCTTGGCTCTCGCATCCCACACAGATCTGTCATCAGACTTGGTGTTATCACGCCCCATCTGTCCCCAGCACTACTCCGTGAAGGGACTTAGAATCAAGTCATGGGCTGAGACAAAGGGATCTGGCTCTCTCGAACTCTTACACCCAGAGTAGACAGGTGAGCAGGGAAGCCCAACGTCCTCCAGACCTCAACGGAAGTCAAATGGGTATAGATTCACTCTGCTGCCTCCTAGACAAGCCAACATGTGCTCAGACGTTACTTGCTTACTTTAGCGTGGGCTTCCATAAAAGAAAAATGAGTGAGATGCTCGCTGTGCAGAACGGTTTTAAGGAGATAGCATCTGATGCTAATGCTGTTGATGCTGCCCCGCTTTCTACTGGAACACAATTCTTCCTGGACCACTAATGCCTCCCTCGCCTGCCTCCCCAGAAATAGGCTTGCTCAAAGACCCCTGAGGGCCAGGTGGACAAAAAGGATAAGCTTTGTTTCATTTTATATTTTAGTGTTTTTTAAATACAAGATCTCATGTAGCCGGGACTAGCCTCAAACTTGCTGCATAGCAGAGGCTAGCCTTGAACAGATCTGCCCACCTCCTGAGTGCTAAGATCACAGGTGTGCACCGCCACATCCAGCGCCATGTTGCACCAGAGTTGGTCTCAGGATTGTGTGCATTCTAGGCCAGTCTACCAGCTAAAACCAAACCCCAACCGCTCAAAAAGTATCTTGTCTAGATTTTTTTCGTTTTTCTTTCTTTTCTCTTTCTTTCTTTCTTTCTTTCTTTCTTTCTTTCTTTCTTTCTTTCTTTCTTTCCTTTTTTTTTTTTTTTTGAGACAGAGTTTCTCTGTGTATCTCTGGTTGTCCTGGAACTCATTCTGTAGACCTGTCTGGCTCTGAGCTAACAGAGATCTGCCTGCCTCTGCATCCCTGAGTGCTGGGATTGGAATCTTTACGGATAATATGCATTACCAGGAAAACAGCCTAGATATGGCTGTGAGGTGAGCTCCCACACAGGAAGAAAAGTAAGAAATCTCTTGATGCTCCTGAAGTCCCCGAGTCTCTCTAGGAGACTCAACAGGCCCCCTAGTTTCCTGTCAAGCCCAGTGCTCTGGGCTGTTCAAATGCGGACAGGACAAATTGGGCAAGTGAGCTCTACAGAAAGAGTGCCCACCTCCCGAACCCAGCTCTACTGGTCCAGTTTGATACACCGCAGCCAGAGGTGACCATTCACCTTCCTGCCTGCGGGTCAAGTCAGAGATGAAGGCTGTCTTGGTGCCAGCCATAACTCCTGGGTTGGGAGGGGATCTGGGCCACTCAGTCCCCATTGCCTCTCTGAAGATGAGAGAGACAGCTACAGGAAAGGAACCCTCAACTGGCTAGCTGCTCAATCGCCCAGGGGGTTTATGGGGAAAGTCTTCCAACGTGGAGAAGCCCTGCGGTGGTTAGCATCGAGACCACCTTTCTGACAGCTACAGAAATATAAGATAAAGCTTTCCCTGTGTGGCCGTCCTGACTGGACAGCCAAAGGACCTCTGACTGCTCCTGGTCCTTTGACCCTTTCCTCCTGCTGCGTACTGGGGGGAAGATGTACACAATGACAACTCTTTTCTCAGATCTCAGGCTTTCTCAGCACCGACCCGCTTCCTGCCAGAGGGGTTTCAATGGTCAGTGTGTGGGTGGTCCCCAATCCTGTTGCAGATACAGCGGAGATGACAAAGCCCTCCACCCATCTTCTCTCTTGGGGGCTGCAAACACCACCTGCCAACAGAACAGTGCGGTGCAGAGTACCTCAGGGAAGGAACTGAAAATCTTGCTGGTGTGTCCCCGGCAGGTGTTTTGGGGGATCAGAATTAGAATTGGAAGCCAGGAGCGGCAGCTGCAGTGTGAGGAGAGCGGATATCCTTACCTTTGCGGGCCTGCTGGATGTATCGCGCTATCAGTGCGCCCAGGCGCGCTCGGGGTTCGCCGTCGGTCCTGAGCACGGCGGCCCTTAGCTGCCTTCGGGGAGCCTCCTCCGCCCGCTGCACCGCGGAGTCCACGGCTTCTGCCGGGGCCACTGGCTGCGTCAGGGCGCCTGCGACCAGGACTGCCATCAGCACGCACAGACACACGCCGCTCTTCATGGCTGTGGGGAGCGGAGGCAAGGAGCGTGAACCAAAGGCTGACCTCGGCGGGCTTCAAACGAAGTCCCGTACGCACACCGAAGTCCGCCCAGGTGGGGGCTGCAGCTGCGCCAAACTGGCTCATGCCCTAGAGCTAGCCAAGCGCAGTCTCTAGCTGCGCCCTGGCCACCGCGCGCCTGGGGACACTTCTGCAGGCTTTTGTGTTATCTACACCCAGGGCCCAGGAATCCCGCAGAGACCCGATTTTCTGCCCGGTTCAGGAGCAGTACCTCCTGCTTTCCTCAAGTTAGAGCCTTTTAGCTCATCTCTCTTCTAACCAGAAAAGCACAGAGCGAAAGTGTGTGTGTGTGTGTGTGTGTGTGTGTGTGTGTGAGAGAGAGAGAGAGAGAGAGAGAGAGAGAGANGGGGGGGGGGGATGGAGAGGAGGGAGGTTAAAAGGGAGGTAGCGGTGGGGAAGAGATAGAAATCTTTAATAAATAAATAAATAATTTTAAAAAAAAGAGTAAAGAGAGGAAAAAGCAATTGCAGATTTCATGCTGTTGGCATTTTGCAAAATCTGAGGGGTTTGTAAGAAAGGCTAAGGGGGATGCACAAGGGAGGGAGGCAACTTTCTGAACACAAGGAGGGAGATAAGCCAGGGAAGGTTCTTTCTGAGCCTAGTTGAGAAGGCAAAGGGAAACCAGTGTGCAAGACGGGTCATCAAGACAATGTCCCCCCACTCAGGGTTGGTCAAAGCAGAAGGTAGAAGAAAGGAGGGGGAAAGGTGGAGTGTATCTATAAAGGCCACAGGCAGCCCCCAGGCATGCAAAAACTGCAACAAATTTCTCTGGGGGACAAAAAGATTTAAATATTCTTATATATGTTAAACTGTGAACTCTCCAGGCAGCAATGACCTGCAAGGAAGACTAAGAGTATGCTGGGCAAACTTAAGAGACAAAACAGTGTCCTGCAAGGAAGGATTCATTCTTTCTAAAGGACTCAGGGATGCATACATGTGTATGTGTGTGCATTTGTTTTCAAGGGCTATAGTCCCCTGATGTACCTTTTTTTTTTAGGGGAGGGGGCACAGTCTAGGCCGGAAGTTCATTTCCTTCCAGCATGACCAGATTTGCTGTAGCCATCTATCACAGGAACAAGAGCAGAGAAGATAACAGGTGATGGAGAGCGAGAGGGCCAGGCAAACACCATGATAGGCCCCTAGTAACTCAGTTAAAACTAGGCCTCAGTCCCTTCCTCATGAAACTAAATAAGACAGCTTCTGAGGAAGAGACAAACAAAGGGCGACCAATTGCCAAATGCCTGACCAGTGAGAATGGGAAGAACTGCACCTACTAGGCCTGGGCCCCCCACCACACACACACACACACACACACACACACACACACATACATATCTCCTCGAGGCCATAACCACCTAAGGACAAAGCCTAGAACTTGTCCAGACTTGCCCGAGAATGTAAAAGCTTTAGCCTTAGCACACCCCTGCTATCCCTAAGCAATTAGAAACATACTAATATGATTGCCACTTGTGTAAGCCAATCCTAGATAGAATGATCACACTGCTTTTAGAATTCCTTTAGTTGTATCAAAGAGCCTGAAAGCTTTTCTTGTGGGTCACCATTCACCATCTTTGCCTTTGTGTTGGATGTGTGACCCTGGGATGCTGGTACTTCTACTCTCAAGATAATAAATGCTCTTGCTGATTGCATACCTGAATAGCTATTATGGTAAAAGTAAAATGCTGCAGATTCCTGAGTGGCTACAGCAGGCAGTGTGTCCCGAGGCCATGTCACAGGTCCCTGAAGTGGTGGCAGGCAGCAGGCAGCATGAACACACCAGGCCACAAAGGCAGCCGGGTCCCAAGAGCAGCCAGTCCCAGGCAGCGATGGCACAGTTCCCCGAGTGACTGCAGTAGATGACAAGTCCCAGGCAGGGAGCTGTGTGGTGGATAAGAGACCTTGATGGGCCAGCAAGTCCCACAAGGAGAGATGGATGGGCATGCCACGAGACCATGCTGCAGGTCTCCAAAGGCGGCTGATCTTGGGCAGGGAGCCACACGGTGGGATAGAAACAGAGACATGGATAGGCACACCATGCAGAGTGAGGTTGGATATTTATTTAGTGGGTTATAGAGGGGAAACGGGAGAAAAGCAGAGAGAGAGAGAGAGAGAGAGAGAGAGAGAGAGAGAGAGAGAGAGAGAGAGAGAGAGAGAGGCGGGGGTGGATACTCCTGGAGAGAAATGCAGGAGATTAAAAGCTGTCGCTACAGAAATGAACGGGACAAGAATGGGAGGCACCGTTTAAAGTACCGGCGCATAAATATAAGCTGTTTTTACAGAGGTTCCTAGGCGTTTATACCAGAGCGAACAAAAAGTCACTATGCAAAACAAAAGCCAGAAATCTGCGCCCAGTCCTGAGTTTAAAAAGCCCCGCATTTGAGAACTGAGCTAATGGGACCTGCATCATAACGATGTATTTCTATTCCCAAAGCCTTAATTTTTTTTCTGCAGCTTTTAGAAAATGGGTATGTCTTAAAGCCTCTTGGTATTTTCTTTTAAATGATTGCAAAGTGATCCGAACATCATGGGAACCCCAAGAAACGGCTATCCCAGCCTTGTCATGAAAAGAGACCGCACAGAGGAACAAGTCTCCTCAGAGCGTACCCACCCAGACGCATTTTAGAATCCAGCCCCGTTATTTCTGACTTCACGAAATCTTCCCAGCTGTCAAAGGAGGGAAGACACAGAAAACAGAAAGACGATACTCAAGGGTGCAAAGCTACGAGCCAATATTCTTCACACGCCTGATTCTTGCATCTGCCAGCAGAGATGCCGACTTACCTTTGCAGGGGAATCAGCTGGCTTGGCGGCTTCCAGCAGAGCAGGCTGTGGTCCAGCCAAGTTCAGGGCAGGAGGGAGGGCGGCTGCCTCTTAAATAGCCCCGCCCGGGCGCGCAGCCAGTCATCTGTTTACCCAGTGCTGACGCAGTCCAGCAGGACACGTGCTCAGGAGACGGCCCCTGGAGCGACCACCTATGGAAGTGGCCCGGAGAGAAGGGAAGCGGCTCGGATAGCCCCTCCCAGACTGGGTACCTCGTAGGGGATCTCCTCGTTATCTAAAGAGCTTCCTTCCCACCTGTCCAGCACTTTCCCAGTCTCTTCGGGCAGGCCGCTCCCTCCTGAGTGGGAAACAGTTTATCTGGAATGGAGAAAGTGACCATGTTCAGCTTTGGGAGTCAAGTGCTCCTTCAAGGAAACTGGGGGACCTACACAGGCTTGGGGGTCAGCAAGCATAATTCTGGTGTGTTTTCTGGGACCACCTTCGGGCCTGAGTGGGCTCCCACGCGTGAGAGAGGGGATTCGGACTCTCGGTTTCTCATAACTCAATCTGGGTCTGTTTTCATACAATTGCAAAATTTGGGTATACCTCCTGACTTCACGCGGAAGGAGCCCCTGGGAAAAGGCTCTGGTTTCTTTTCAGGACCCTTAACCACCTGACCACATCGGCTGCTGCTCCTGGTCGCCAAGTGGCGCCAGAGAGTTTCTTAGGCATCCCCAAGCTCTGGCTGGCTGAGCCATCCTGGCTTGGTTTGCACCTTTCCAGGGAGCTCCTGATCGCCCTTTCCAGGAAAGTCCCTCGAGTAACAGGCGGCTCAGCTGGTGATGAGGGTCTTGGCTGGGATAAGGATTCTCACCGATCAAGAGGAAAGGGAGGCGCCCGATAGTGTAGCGCTCACATCCCCCGAGATCCCTCAGCCCCTGCAGAGCACAGTGATCTTCTGCACCCCGAAGTTTGCTGGGTCCCTCCGCCCCATTTCACAGAACAGAACTCGGACTGGGGACCTAAGAAGCTCCACACCGGTCTGTCACTGCTATCCTGTAACCTGGGGTCACCAGCTAGCATGCCCAACCCCGCCCTCACCCCTCCCTTCCGGGAGAAAGGTTTAGAAACACTTTCTGAATAGAAAATGTACCCAGCCCTGGAGCCCTCTTCCTGAGGAGACCATGGGAATGCAGGTGCAGGGGAGTCAGGTCCCTGGTGGTGGCTCTAGGGGTCTCTGAAATCCAGAAGAAACAGATTAAGCGCTGTGGGTTGATCTTCCCCACAGGCCACTCAGGTTGGAGATATTAGCTTTATCCCTGAAGGAACCAAGTACATCTAGAAACCTGGATTTGATCTAAAGCAGGATGGCAGAGGGCTGTCCACTCCAGCCTAATTCTACCTATGCTTTCCTTGGCCTGTGGATTGAGACTCAGACATTTAGTTGACTCCTTACCTCCCGATTTAGGAACCATGACCAGTCCCTGGGGATGCAGTGTGACCAAGAGCTGATAAAACAGATACCCAAGAAAATAAACACCTCTGGGGTCTGGAGGGTGGGCTCAGCCTTGGAAGCACAGGGACCTGAGTTCAATCCCCACTAGAAGCCAAGGAAGGAAGAACTTATACCAGGGCAAAGGAGGTCGGCAGGAGGATCCCAGGAGCTCAGTGATCAGCTAGTCTAGCCAACTGGTGAGTTATAGGTTTAGTGAGAGTTGTTTACCATTCAAGGTGGAACACAATGGAGGAGACATCTGGTGTGACTTTCTGGCCCGCACATCTGTACACACGTGTGAACATCTGGCCCGCACATCTGTATACACATGTGACCCTCTGGCCTGCACATCTGTACACACAGGTTCACACATACAAACACGTACACACAAGTGACACGCACACCTGATGACTTTGAATGAGTCTGATGTTGGGAGCAACTCTGGAGCCAAGATTGAGGTGGATAATCTGAGAAAAATGTTATCAGGTCAGGGATGGATTGAGATAAGGGTTCTCGGGTCTGGCAGTGACGTGGAAGGGTTCCATAAAGTTTTTCTGACTCGATAAGCCTCTCCCCTGACAAACTAATCCAAATCCAAATCAGACCAAATCAAACCGACGCCTATGACCTAATTACTTTCAAAGTGACCACTGTGAGTACCCCAGTGGAGAGGGAATTTCAAAACAG